AGGGGCAGCAACCTAATAACGGGTTGTCCGATTCATCTGAAAATTTCAGGGCAGATAGATCTTGACCTGATAAACAATTTTACTTCATGTCAGATTTGCTTTAAATGCTTTGGTTTTTGAGTTAAAAGCCAAAAACTGAATTTTACCCCTATGTTCTATTTTTAGCCGTGGCGGCCATCTTGGTTGGTTGACCAGGTCACGCCACACATTTTTGAAACTAGATAACCAAATGATGATTGTGGCCAAGTTTGGTTTAATTTGGCCACGGAGTTTCAGAGGAGAAGATTTTTGTAAAAGATTACTAAGATTTACGAAAAATTGTTAAAAATTGACTATAAAGGGCAATAACTCCTAAAGGGGTCAACTGACCATTTCAGTCATGTTCACTTATTTGTTAATCTTACTTTGCTGAACATTATTGCTGTTTACAGTTTATCTCTATCTATAATAATATTCAAGATAATAACCAAAAACAGCAAAATTTCCTTAAAATTACCAATTCAGGGGCAGCAACCCAAAAACAGGTTGTTCGATTCATCTGAAAATTTCAGGGCAGATAGATCTTGACCTGATAAACAATTTTACTTCATGTCAGATTTGCTCTAAATGCTTTGGTTTTTGAGTTATAAGCCAAAAACTGCATTTTACCCCTATGTTTTATTTTTAGCTGTGGCGGCCATCTTGGTTGGTTGGCCGGGTCACGCCACACATTTTTTAAACTAGATACCCCAATGATGATTGTGGCCAAGTTTGGTTTAATTTAGCCCAGTTGTTTCAGAGGAGAAGATTTTTGTAAAAGATTACTAAGATTTACAAAAAATGGTTAAAAATTGACTATAAAGGGCAATTACTCCTAAAGGGGTCAACTGACCATTTCGGTTATATTGACTTATTTGTAAATCTTACTTTGCTGAACATTATTGCTGTTTACAGTTTATCTCTATCTATAATAATATTCAAGATAATAACCAAAAACAGCAAAATTTCCTTAAAATTACCAATTCAGGGGCAGCAACCCAATAACGGGTTGTCTGATTCATCTGAAAATTTCAGGGCAGATAGATCTTGACCTGATGAACAATTTTACCCCATGTCAGATTTGCTCTTAATGCTTTGGTTTTTGAGTTATAAGCTAAAAACTGCATTTTACCCCTATGTTCTATTTTTAGCCGTGGCGGCCATCTTGGTTGGTTGACCGGGTCACGCCACACATTTTTAAAACTAGATACCCCAATGATGATTGTGGCCAAGTTTGGTTAAATTTGGCCCAGTAGTTTCAGAGGAGAAGATTTTTGTAAAAGTTTACGGACGACGGACGACGGACGACGGACGCAGGACGACGGACGACGGACGCAAAGTGATGAGAAAAGCTCACTTGACCTTTCAGGTCAGGTGAGCTAAAAAGGAGAGTCCCTAATCAAATGGCAAAATCAAAAGCTCAAACACATCAAACGAATGGATAACAACTGTCATATTCCTGACTTGATTTATGAAAGTTTAACAAATCTTTATTATATGATATAGAATATATAAATACTACTAAACGAAAAATACAGAAAGTGAAAAAACAATAGTGTGCTTTAGTTTATAATTTGCAAAATATCGACAAAATAGATAACGAAAACATTCATTTTAGAATTAACTGCCAGCTTTTGCTTGAGACTCTTCTGCTGGAAATTAGGGGAAAAACAATTTCATATTAAAGTTAAACAAGAGTGCACATGCTGAAATGTCTCGCCTTCTTTACTAACCATTGATATTATGTTGATAATCCTAAATATAAAGCTTTACTACAACTATCACATAAACTTAACTTGATCCAAGAAAACGAGGTCAAGGTCATATAAACCAGACGAGAAATACATGTACACCTTACAATCATTCAATACACTAAATATAGTTGACCTATTGCTTATAGTTTCTAAGAAACAGACTTAACCAAGAAAACTAAACATTGACCAATGAACCATGAAAATGAGGTCAAGGTCGGATGAACCATGTCAGGCAGACATGTACAGCTTACAATCCTTCCATACAACAAATATAGTTGACCTATTGGTTATAGTTTAAGAAAAACAGACCAAATCATAATAAACTGCTTCGCTGAGCGCAGCAGCTAGGATACGACCACAGAGGTCCAACCCTGAACAGTTGGGGCAAAAATGGACAGAATATTCAAGCTTGATACAGGTCTGAATTTGGATTGTAATTAAATATTTAACACATTATAGGTTTCTAACACAGAATAAATGTGGTCAAAGAACTTGAAATTGGTTATATGATTTGGATTTAGATTCAATTGAAGATTTTGTGTAATACACTGCTGTTGCGCAATACTTAATAAATCTGTTTTCAGACTATATACAAAGAATTAGCAAAATAAATTGTGACCCCCAATTTTTCTTTGGAAAATTGACAATTTCTTAAATCTTGAAGAAAACAAATTAACCCCCTCCCCAAAAAATGTTTTCCCAAAAAAATATTTGAAGAAATTTTCTTTTTAATTTCTTAAATCTTGTGGAAAAAAAATTTGCCCCTTCCAAAATTTTTTTTTCTACCCCCCCCCCTCCAGTCTGCTTGTTTTAGACCTTTTTTTACCCCTAATTCCTGAACGGTTTGGGCAATTACCCCCCAAAACAATCCCAACCTTCCTTTTGTAGTATAGAACCTTTTGGTTAAATTTCATAGAGATCCATACACTTAAACTAAAGTTATTGTGCGAAAACCAAATGTCTTCGGACGAGGACGAAACCGACGATGTGATAGCAATATACGACCCCAAAATTGTTTTGCGGATGTATAAAAACTAAACACTGAGCAATGAACCGTGAAAATGAGGTCAAAGTCAAATAAAACCTGCCAGACTGACATGTACATTGTAAAATATTTTCATACACCAAATATAGTTGACCTATTGCATATAGTATTAGAAAAGAAGACCAAAACACAAAAACTTAACTTTAACCACTGGACATGTACACCTTACAATCATTCCATACACCAAACATAGAAGACCTATTGCTTATAGTATCTGAGATATGGACTTGACCACGAAAACTCAACCTTGTTCACTGATCCATGAAATAAGGTCGAGGTCAGATGAAAACTGTCTGACGGGCATGAGGACCTTGCAAGGTTATCCTATTACTCCTAATAAGAGAGAAATTAACATTACAAAAAATCTTAACATTTTTTTCAAGTAGTCACTGAACCATGAAAATGAGGTCAAGGACAATGGATCACTATCCCTATGTCGAGATTCTGTGACAAAAGTCGTAGGCTCCACAAAAATGATAACATAAGTGAATTTTCTAAGTCCAAGGACAATACCTCTGCACAAAATCATTAGACCCGGCATTACAATTAGAAAGATCATATCATAAGGAACATGTGTACTAAGTTTCATGTTGATTGGACTTCCAACTTCATCAAAAGTTACCTTGACCAAAAACTTTAACCTGTAGCAGGACAGTATTATTTTCTATGTTCAGTGGGCCGAAAAATTCGGGTCAAAACTCTAATTTGGCATTAAAATTAGAAAGATAATATCATAGGGAACATGTGTACTCAGTTTCAAGTTGATTGGACTTCAACTTCATCAAAAACTACCTTGACCAAAAACTATAACCTGAAGCTAGACAGACGGACAGACGAACGCACAGACAGAAAAACAAAATGCCCGTAGGTAGGGCATAAAAACTGGTGGCTAATATCTTTACTGAAAACTGTGTATAAAATTGGATCAGCAGCTATTTCAAACAGATTTAAGAGTGTCCTCGATAAATTAATCAATTTTGATCAGACTGGTTTTATTAGTGGGAGATATATTGGGGAAAATATAAGTATATTACAATATACAGAGGAACATGAAATACCAGGGCTTTTACTATTGATTGATTTAGAAAAGCTTTTGCTCCATCTCATGGGATTTTTTTATGAATGTTTTGAATTTTTTGAATTTTGGTGAATCTATCATTAATTGGGTCATAGTTTTTTTTACAATTATATCAACTCTGCTGTCATCCAGGGGGGAAATCTTTCAATTTTTTTTAGGATTGGAAGAGGTTGTAGACAAGGAGATAAGCTGTCTCTCTACTTTTGCATTTTATGCGTTGAGATTCATGCGTTGAAAATAAGGAGAAATAGTGACATTAGTGGTATCAAGGTCACATGGGTTGAACATAAATTGTCACAATTTGCTGACGACACTTCTTTGATTTTGGATGGGAGTGAAACATCCCTGCAGGAATCACTATTAGAATTAGACTGGTTTGTAAAAATATCTGGACTGAATATTAACTTCACAAAAACACAAGTTATTTGGTTTGAGACTCACAGAGCAAAATATATAGTACAGATACATTATGTCCTGACAGAAATCTGTCTTGGGGTGAAACTACTTATACATTGCTAGGTATAATTTTTTATGTAGATCTTGAAAAAATTGCTAATATAAATTATTCTGTAAGAAGTGTACACATTAAAATACTTTAAAACAATGGTCTAATAGGAATTTAACTGTAATAGGAAGAATAACTGTGATTAAAACTCTAGTCTTGTCTATTGTAAACCATCTCATTATCTCTCTGCCAAACCCCTCAGATGATATTGTTAAGAGAACTTATTTATAAATACATATGGAACTCACCTATACATAGAGTTAAGAAGGATATCCTAAGGAGGTTTAAAAATGCTTAATTTGAATATGTTTTTTACAGCATATAAATCAACATAAATTAGGATTTTGAAAAGAAATAGTAATAGTGGCAAAATATTTTCATGTCAAATATAGTTAGGAAAATGTTGTTCAGTTGTGGTGTTGATTATATTAGACAACTTAATATGACTTTTCCGATCAATTTGTTGGGTTTTTTTTTCATTATTTTTCATTATAATATTATAAGGTGAATATAAGCAGATATCAAGGTTTCCAAATATTAGAAACAAGCTATTATAAATCATTTCAGTCAGTATCTGAATAATTAACATTAGATGATTACCTTCAACTACAGGTGCTGCAGGTTCCTGTAAATGGGTGTCAGTAGTTACTTCTGGGGATGTCTTTGACATGGCATCCTACAAAAGAAAAAAATGTAATAAACTGTCATTCCCCATGTGAAAACTTGTCAAATTATTAAAACATCTATCTTAAACGCCCATTTTTTGCCATTGTAAATTTAGATTCTAAGAACAATTTAAAATTTGCCCATAAAGTGCACATACTGTTTGGAAATGCATAAGATCAAGAAATACACAAGTCAGACACATTATTCTGACAACCAGTCTTTATTGAGAAGCAGGGCATACACATTTTCAAGTTGTCAGTTCCAACAGGCTGGTGATACAACCCATACTATATAGCTCTCGAGACAGGCACCCTACAAAAGACCACAGTCATGATTGTGTGCCAGCGACTGTGGTCATAAATCCTAATACCTGAATAAGGGACGACAAATAATATTTTACTAATGTTTTTTAATGCTCTGTCCTTTTTTCAGATTATTTATATTTTTATTTCTTTTTTTATTTCTATCAGAAGCAGTTATTGCTCAGTTTGAAAACAGTTGTGGTTATCAGCCATAGTCATTAAGGAGAAAATGCATCATTTCTTAAAGTATGTTTTTCTATATTTGTTTTTATTTCTCCTATTGTTTAATTTGTCCAAAGACGGGAGTAAAAATACATTGATGGGGACATTTCTAGTTCTTTCTACCTGTATATTCACATATATTTTACCATTATGTGATCTTTGGAAATGTCGATAACACACACACTGAGGAAATGTACTGTAGAATTCTAAAGAATTTCCTACATTTCTATGCAATGTAGGATTTGTACTGTGTATAACTTTCAATGTTACGGAAAGCCAGAATGGAATAAGATGCCCAATTTACATCAGGCTGTTCATGCAAATAAAGGTGAATTTTTGTGTCCAACGAAATATAACAACGTTGTCAAAATCAAGACATGGAAAGATCCCCATGTAGGTTTGACTACAAGCTAGGATACGAGCATATATACTCTAGAGATCTATTGATTTTGCGTTTATTATGTATCATGTTTGGTTTTTTTTTTTTCATGTTGGTCTTGTACACTTTAAGTTAGATCAGAAAAGCGCTTCGGACGCATGAAATTTATATCGTGTTGTTTTCATTTTTTACAGCACTGAGTCGACACCTCTGCTGGTGGACTATCAGTCCCCAGGGTATCATCAGCTCAGTAGTCAGTACTTCGGTACTGACATGATTTATAACAAATTATCTAAAATTGCACATTTATAAATTTTTAAATTATACAGAAACTATGGTTTCAACTGCCTCAGGCAAAGTTGGCCTTAGATGGATTTGGCAATTTTTAGGTCCTTTTTTGGTGTATAGCTCTTCAACGTTTTCAGTCCTTTTACATTCTTGGCTTTCAAATATTTGGCTTTGAGCGTTCCTGATGGAGGTAGATCCAGAAAAGCTCTTCGGACCCATGAAAGTTATATCGTGTTGTTTTCATTTTTTAAGATGTATTTTATATTTATTTATTGTGCAGAGTATTTATATTTTTATTAACAATCAAATGTCTTTGTTAGAACGATCATTTCAGTTTATCTAGACATTCTATGTAAACATCTATATAGATGATAGGGGAAGGTAGGAATTAACAAAATCATTTTATGTTTTTTCAGAATCCAATATACATGATATATCTTAAACAAATCACAGTCAGTACATGCTAAAGGAAAACTATCAATTGACCATATGGTAACAAGGAGTTACTACGAACCTGAATCGCTTAATGCTTCACGTTAGTCAAAAACATAGAAATCAACAAAAACTAGAGGCTGCCAGAGTAACAGCAAACCGGACTTTTCTGCAGAGGTCGAACCCTGAACAGTTGAGCAAGTATGGACAATACATTTAAGCTTAAAACAGCTCTGAATTTGGATTGCGATTGAATATTTGACACAAAATGAATGTGGTTTAAGAACTGAAATACTTGAAATTGGACATTTAAATACCTATTATGTTCCAATATCAAAAATCTAAGTACATATTAGAATCAGCACATCAAAGAACACCAAGTATTCAATTTTTGATGAAATCAGACAAAAGTTTGATTTAAGACCCTTTGGACCTCAATGTGGACCAATTTGATAAAGGAGCCCACAATCCAAAATCTCTCAATACATGGTTAGTTGCAGCATTTCAAAGAACCCCATAAATAATTTTTTTGTTGAATCAAACAAAGTTTAATTTTGGACCCTGATTTGGACCAACTTGAAAACTGGGCCAAAAATCTAATATTTAAATACAGGTTTACATTCAGCATTTGAAAGAACCCTATATATATATATTTAATTTATATTGAAATGAAACACAGGTTAATTTTATCCATAATATTTCCTGTGCAAAGGGAAAAAACTCAAACTGTATAAATAGTTCTCTAAAATAAGATATGATGCAATTTTTCAAATTATAATCAATAATATAATAACAACAACCAGTGATGACTAAGTTCTCTAAAATTAGATATGATTTCACACTCAAACATTGCTAGAATCAGCATATCAAAGAACCAAAGAATTCATTTCTGATGAAATTAATCAAAAGTGTAATTTTAGACACTTTGGACCTCAATGTGGTATTATCTTATTAATAATGAAAAGAAATACAGGTTTAGATTAAGCATTTCAAAGAACCCTATATATATTCAATTTATGTTGAAATCAAACACAGTTTAATTTTGGACCCCAATTTGGACCAACATGAAAACTGGGTCCAAAATCAGAAATCTAAATATATGTTTATTAATAGACAAGATAAGGTTAGTTTTTAAAGGAGTTTACTTTATCAAAAAAAAAATATATATAGCATTCAGAAAACTAGTTTTTACAGAATAACAAACAAACTTGCCACAAAATTCTACACACAATTTACTAAAGAAAAGAAGAAAAAAATCCAAAATTTTATTTATCATTAATACAATGTCATTTTAAAATCTATAGAACTTATCAGTAACAAGAAATAATTGTAAGAGAATGCTGTTAAAAAGTCTCCCAAACAAAGCTCCAATAATTTGTCATTCCCATTGTCGCTTGACATTGGGCAATGTCCAGAACAAATTGGTTTATGATATGCATTAGTGACACCTATGGATTGACCCTGTATGTCATTCAAATCTTCTTGAAATAACGAACAGGAATTTATATGGTTTAGGGGTGGAGACCGTTTACAAGTTCTCAAAAGGGGGGGGGGGGGGGGGGGGGGGGGGGGGGGGGGGGGGAGGGGGTGAATGATCCCCAGGGGACTCTCCCTTTATTTCGTATGATTTGTTTTTTTTTGTCCTGTACAAGAATATATATGGTTTAGGGGTAGGGATCTTGACCGATTACAAGTTCTTAAACAGGCTGGGGTGGGGGTGACCCTAGGGGACTCGCCTTATATTTCATTTGATTTGTTTTATGGTCCCATACAAGAATATATATGGTTTCCGCATGGGGATCTTGACCGTTTACAAGTTTTTAAAAAGAAGGGGGGTGAGGGTTACCCCAGAGGATTTCTCCTTAATTCCATTTGATTTGTTTTATTGTCCCATTCAAGAATATATATGGTTTAGGGGTGGGGATCTAGACCGTTTACAAATTATCAAAAAGAAGGGGGTGGGGGTGACCCCCATGGACTTCTACTATATTTCATTTGATTTGTTTTATTCCATACAAGAATATATATGGTTTAGGGGTGGGGATCTCGACCGTTTACAAGTTCTCAAACAGGAGGGGGTGGGGGTGACCCCAGGGGACTCGCCTTTTATTTTTTATTTGATTTATTTCATTGTCCCTTACAAGAATATATATAGTTTCAGGGTGTTGATCTTGACCGTTTACAAGTTTTCAAAAAGAAAGGGGGTGGGCATGACCCCCATGGACTTCCTATATTTCACTTGATTTGTGTTATTGTCCCATACAAGAATATATATGGTTTAGGGGTGGGGATCTCGAACGTTTACAAGTTCTTAAACAGGAGGGGGTGGGTTGACCCCAGTGGACTCGCCTTGTATTTCATTTGATTTGTTTTATTGTCCCATACAAGGATATATATGGTTTCGGGGTTAAGATTTTGACTGTTTACAAGTTTAAAAAAAAAAGGGGTTGGGGGTGACCCCTGGGGACTCCCCCTCAATTTCATTTGATCTGTTTTATTGTCCCATTCAAGGATAAATATGGTTTAGGGGTGGGGATCTCGACTGTTTAGAAGTTTACAAAAAGAAAGGGGGTGGGGTGACCCCCATGGACTTCCCTTATATATCATTTAATTTGTTTTATTGTCCCATTCAAGAATATATATTTGGTTAGGGGTGGGGATCTCGACGGTTTACAAGTTCTTAAACAGGATGGGGTGGGGTGACTCCAGGGGACTCGCCTTTTATTTCATTAGATTTGTTTTATTGTTTCCATACAACAATATATATGGTTTCGGGGTGGGGATCTTGACCGTTTACAAGTTTTCAAAAAGAAGTGGGTGGGGGTTACCCCAGGGGATTTCCTCTTAATTTCAATTGATTTGTTTTATTGTCCCATTCAAGAATATATATGGTTTAGGAGTGGGGATCTAGACCGTTTACAAGTTATCAAAAAGAAGGGGGTGGGGGTGACCCCATGGAAATCCACTTTATTTCATTTGATTTGTTTTATTGCATACAAGAATATATATGGTTTCGGGGTGGGGATCTCGACCGATTTACAAGATCCCAAACAGGAGGGGGTGGGGGTGACCCCAGGGGACTCGCCTTTTATTTTTTATTTGATTTATTTTATTGTCCCATCCAAGAATATATATAGTTTCAGGGTGTTGATCTTGACCGTTTACAAGTTTTCAAATAGAAAGCGGGGTGGGGTGACCCCCATGGACCTCCCCTATATTTCATTTGATTTGTGTTATTGTCCCATACAAGAATATATATGGTTTAGGGGTGGGGATCTCGACCGTTTACAAGTTCTTAAACAGGAGGCGGTGGGGTTGACCCTAGGGGACACGCCTTGTATTTCATTTGATTTGTTTTATTGTCCCATACAAGAATATATATGGTTT